AAAGAGACTATGATTGAGAGGATGATGAAAAAAATTGGAAGAATCTTTGATGCAAGTGAGAATGAGTGAGGCAATTAACTATTATAATGATTTTGTGAAAACCCTCTAAATGATAGGAACTAGTGTGATTGCTGAATTTGAAGTTTGAATTCATTACTAGTTTATTTGAGGTGCATCTTATAGGCATACACCTCTATTTTAGGGTTTTTATATAATAACCTAAAGCCCAAGTGGCATTATGAGTTACACAATGAAGATTTTAATGTTTTGATGAAGGAACATGAACCAAAAAGTCGGCAAGAGAATGTTGAAAATTTTAGCTTAAAGTTTATGTAATATAAATTTTAAAATGTTAATGTAGGTGCTGTTTTAAATAATATTCTCATTAGATTTTATTGATTTGGGAAAGAGAAGATGATTGAGATTAAGGATGATGACAAAAATTTGGAAGAATCTTTGATACAAGTGAGGATAAGTGAGGCAAGAAAGCAATTAACTATGATAATGATTCTATGAAAACCCTCCAAGGGTTCGTTTGGGATAGCTTTCCGATTGCTTTGCTTTTCAGACCGCAGTCACAGTTCCGTTTGGGGAATTGCTTTTTGCTGCTTTCTAGAAATTTCTATGGTAGAAAATTGATTTTTTCAACCCGACCTGTTAAAGTGTGGTGGCTACTAGAAAGCTGTGATTTGACTTTTTGAAAATAAATTTGTAATAATCACTACAGTTTTTTGAACATCAACTTCTTTTGTAGCAGCTTCATAACAACTTTTTCAAACAGTTGCAGCTACGCTAAACAGACCCTAAATGATAAGAACTAATGCGATTTTTGGATTTGATGTTTGAAGTCATTACTAGTTTATCTTAGGACATCTTATTTGTTTACTTTAGACTTCGTTTATGTTTACTTGTTTATCTTAGTCTTCTTTTTATTGACCATTTATATGACTTCTTATAATTTTACTTTGACACTTTTGAATTACTCTTAAACGCTTTCTTGGGAGAAAACCAAAATCAAAATTTTATGATATTTATTGTTGAGTTCTTAAGAGGGTTGCTCTGAAGTATTTCCTTACCATATGTTGGTTAATTTAATGATTTAACTTATTGGATAGACATTAATGATCTGTTTGGGGCAGCTGTTGATTATTTATAATCTGCTGATAAACAGATTATTCTGATAATTTGATAATCTGCAGATTATCAGAATAATTTGTTGGCTCAGAATAATTTGGCTTGCTGTTTGGGGCAGCTTATTCAGAATAACTTATTGGTGGTTATGGTTGTATAAATGACATTCCCGCATCTGTTTGGTAAAACTGTTTGGGACATGTTATTCAGAATAGCTTATTGGTAATACGAGAACATATAGTGCAGAAGCATACAATCATCACAGATCAGTTCCAAAAGATTGCATCTAGTTTTCACATTCTCGTGAGTACCAGAAGAAATAAAAAAAAAGGATAAAAACAAGTACAACTACAATGAGAAATATTAAAATATTCAATTTCAAACTCTGACTACGTTTGTCCTCATCTCAGCTGCTCTATCAACCTGAGAAAACATCAGATTCCCACAACTGCTGACAGTGTAACATGTGGGACTGTAAGCCCACTGAAAGAAGTCACAACGAGCTGAAACAACCTTGGCACAACCGTAGAACTACCTCTCAAAGCTATGAGACTGACCCGACGTTAGCAACAGAGACAGTAGTTTACAATAACATAAAATACCTCTGTTTGTAACTCATATCCTAGAAGTCATGTTTG